CATTACTGTAATAACAGAGTGGCCAGGTTGACAAAGCTAAAATCTGATGAACCTAACCTGCTAGGATATTTCAATAGTCAAACATCAGTTTCAGCACTCCAGCTGGTCAGGGATTTTTTAGGGAAAAATTTTAGCACCCCATTGTAAAACCTGCCCCCGAATCTCACAATTTCATTATTTTGTTCCCTTGCCCCTACAATCTATATTTATACCTTTTGTGCCCTTGAGATCTTTAAAAAAATTGCCTAACTCTGTAGTATGGCATGTAACCTTGTTGCCATATTTATTTTCTGACTTCAGGCTTCAATAAATTTCTACTCTAATACCCTACAGAGATGGGGCCATATGTATGAACAATAAGAAATGATTTCTTCATCTATTATTGACCCCTTACCTTTCACCCAATTTTAAAATTAAATTTACTGAATGATTTTGAAGTTTTCTAGATTATTGAAAAGAACTTTATGGGTACAAGAAATGGGGCAAAAACAGTTGAATTAAGCAAGATGGAAGTAACAATGAACAAGACCGGGTCACTGGATGGTATTTCAGCACACTGGTGGACATGCAACCTAATACCTGCAACCTGTGTCCCATTTATATATATATAGTTTTACACTGTACTGGAAAAATAATGTCAAGGAATTTGTAGAGATTCAGAATGCACACTTCATGGTTTATTCAATCACCAGCATGCATGAATCATTTTATGTTATGAATATTTTTTTAAAATTATTCTCACTTTATAGATAAAATTATATCAATTTTTAATATCATAAATTAATATATAGTAGCTTTTGATTAAACAAGTTATAATAATATATCAGCAAATAATGACTGGTCTCTCTGAAATCCATATAGAAAGGTTCAAATTTGACTTCCACTACCACTACTTGATCTGGCAGTTGCATCCGATTGTTTGATTGGATAAATGAAACTTATCTAGTTAATGGTAGCAATAGCAGCAGTGGAAATCAAATCTGATCTCTCTATTATTTTTTGAAGGTTTGCTCTAAGTCACGTCAATTCAGGGTTGCCCATGCAACTTGGTTAGCACAGCTAGCTCTTCAAGTTGGAGGTCCAATTCTTAGGATTCTGCAAATTAATTCTAGAAACCTGGCTTTGGTTTGGGCTAAACAAAAATCATCACACTGTTTATCATGCTGATTTGGTTGTTTAACAGTTAAAGTCCAGGCTGCATGTTTTTTTGTCCTGCATATGGCAGATGGGACAGTCTGGTTTTCAAGTGTTTATGTGGGGAATTAATATTAATCAGGACTGGTTTCTGAGTGAAGGTCTTGCCTGCTTTATGTGAGAGCAGGCTCTATGTGAGATTCCAATTGCTACACAGCATGATCTCAGTGCTCTTCCTCTGAAACAATGCTTCGTTGCAATATCATCCAGCAAGTGCAAAAATGTACTACCACGGTCAAGGATCATTTGGCATGTTCATCGACTATGTTAACCCATTGAATGGCGCCATGCACCCTCCACCTGACGAGTAAAATTGTCTGGCGTTAGACAGAGTAAACTAACAAAGTAGGGTGCATCTGGGTGCATTGGGCCATTTCATTAATTAATGTATACACCCCCTATGGACGAGTTCAATAAAATTTGAACCCCTAAGAAAAAAAGATCAAAGTGCCAACACCCCAGAAATTAAGAAATTTTTGCCTTATCCCTCAGAAAAAATGCAAAGATCAAAGGATGCCGTCATGCCGATGCACACAACCCCTCAGAAACGGCTTTTTCAACCCCCTCAGAAATTCTAGTCCATAGATACCACAGCACAACACCTGTACATATACATATACAAGTAATACAACAGCAATCCTTTTATATATTTAATAGTCATATTTACATATTGGTGAAATATCAATAGGGATGTCCATTGTCCATGAACTTGTCCCTGTTTGAAGCTAATGTATTCATATGTTTTGTATAAGTTGTCCCTCTACAAACCAACTTTTAGTCATTATACAAGAGTTGAATTTGCATAAGTCGCAACAAACTGAACAAAGTACTATTCCATAAACCTGTGCAATGATCGAGCGTCTTTGGCGACATATCCATGTCTTTTAAACGTCTCATACGAACAAATCTCACTGAGTTTTTTCTACAGAAAGTATTGATCCATTTGATCGATCGCCGTACTTTGAGAAAAGCTTGAAGTGCAAAATTCAGAAGGAAGATTGAAGAATTTCGGAGATAAAAACTGTTTGTCTTCGAGTTTCACCTATTCACCCCCCGGTTGAGAAAAGTAACAATTACGTAATTTTGGAGTCACGTGACCAGCGTTTACCAGGGCACCGTCGCGGTGAAGGCTATTTCAGATACGGTAGCAATCTCGTTCCCCGAGCTCCTTCCCAAGGATCGCAGGCTCGGGGAACGAGATTGCCTCATAGATATAGGAGACCTATGGATTGCCTTCACCCTATGTCGCCGCCTTCAATTCGCGACTAGTCCTGGGTACGAGGTTGTAGCACTGGGTTGTAGCCACTGAGCTATACTATATTACTGGAGGACCTGCTCCTATACTTCGTTCAGTCAACGAAGTGTCCGCAAAAACATGGCGGATTTTGAGTGAAAATGACGCCATTTCCATGACTACTGGTCACTGAGCTATAATATATCTGGAGGAAGTGCTCCTATCTCTCTTCAGTCAAGCAAGTGAAGCCAAAAACATGGCGGATTTTCAAGGATTTTCACGTTTGCTGACGCCAGAATGACGCCACTGGTCCCAAATCCTCGTGGTAATTACCACTGAGCAAGGCTCATTTTGAGCCCGCTACCACTTTCTCATCCCCCTGATTTTCACAAAAATATTTTAGCTTTTTGTTTTGAAGTTTGCCTTGGTGTTTGCCTTCTCTTCGACATATTTTTAACATTTGTAACAAGTGGTAAGAATCATCCTGGCTAGTGAAAGACAGGGAACGAATATTCAAACCTCAAGAAATTTTGGAAAGACGTTATTTGTAAAGGTAAAAAAATACTGTTTATATGTTCAATATTAATTTGTGATAGAGTATGTCAAAACAAAGCGAAATAAACAGCCCATTTGTACTGTGTAGTGGACAATTTTAGCAACTGATGTATACAATTAAGTTGCCCAAACTATATTAATACGAGAAACAGTCTTCCTCGAAAGAAAATGGTTGAAATTTCAGATTTTAGTTTCATTTGTTATTTCAAATTTTACGATATAAAATGCCAGTCGACCACCATCTGCTTCATGATCATACTTATTAAAATTAAAGTGGTTTCTATTATATTAGTATACCTATAGAGGAAGACCTTTTTAAGCCAGAACTATCATGGCTTGGCTTTGAATGATTTAATCCATGTACTTTATAACTGGCCACTTATATGGCAATGAAATTATAATGACTAATGTGTAGAATTATCAAGTCTAGATCCAAAAATTGGCAGTTTCATATATAAGATCAGGCATATATAAGATCAAAGCTATTTTCATATATAAGATCAGGTTTAGAGGCCTGTAGCATTTTCTCTAGAAATTGCATGAGTAAAATCAATTTCATAATTAACCCGTTGAGCCGCAATGCGCCCTACTTATTTTTTTACTTGCCAGATGATTTTACTTGTCAATGGGGAAGCTCTGCAGCTTATCGGTTAACCAAAAAAAACTGACAATGTCTCTAGTTAACCTATTGAGCCGCAATGCGCCCTAGTGTGCCCTACTTTTTTTTTACTTTCTAAAGCCAGACAATATTACTCGTCAATGGGGAAGCTCTGCAGCTTAGTGGGTTAATTAGAAAATGAACCATTCTTGACATTCACTCATGATATTTGATGTTGGTAATTCATGTATTTTTGGAGGAAAATATTTTAGACAGTGGTTGTTTGCCTCACACCAAACCCCAATATTTACATGCTATTTGTCTAAGTGAACTATTTTCCTCATTTTCAACATGCCAAAGTGATACAAAATAAATTTCAGTTAAATTCAAGGAGGTCCTCGGGCCCGTAAGTTGTCAACTGACGACTATCACCTTCATTGTTAGTTAAGCATATATCTGCTTAAGTCCTGGGTTCAAATGAGTGGAATTTCAAGAGCATTCTGACTGGCTTTGTGCAAACAGGGGGCCTTACCGGTTAGGATGAGGGCCAGTTGAGGTGTTAGGGTTGGGTGCAGGCAAGGTTCATGTAAACTTATTGTTAGCAAGAATCAGAGAAGGATTTTCATATTTTTGTTCGGGGGGGGGGTAAATATCTGGGGGGGTGATGCTGCTTGCTTTGGCCGGGGCAACGCCTGGAAAGGCCAAGGAAAAAGTTTAACAAAATTTGTTTTCTATGTCTGCATGGCAAGATCTGAGACCATAATATTGGTAATTTTACAAATTTAGTAGTAAGAATAATCAAATATGAAACTATCAAATCAAAATATATATAATTTGTGGGGGTGCAAAAACTTTGGGGGGCAGTGCCAAATGCCTCTTGGGGGGGGGGGGGGTTTGCAAATAATTTCTGTGGTACACCCCCCCCCCCCAGAAAATCTGTGCCTGGCAAGAATGTTATGTGTACATAATCATGTGTAATGTTGTTTGGATTAATTGCATTTAAACGTTGGAATCCAGTGTCGAACAGTAACCACAACAATTATTATATAAAGTATTTGGTTGTTTTAGTGTAATATTAATTTCTCACATATTTTTTTCAGAAATAAAGCACCATTGAGCAACTTGTTGGGAAAGAGGAGTCACAAACTGTTGATGAATATATTTAATTAACTACACATAAAATACAATTTTATTAACAGTATATTGATTTATGGGTTTATTAGACCACATTATTTTCATATTATTAATAATGAAAAATAAAATTAACAAATAAATTACAAAATCAGTGTGAAAATATTGCAATAATCAATTAAAATGTCAAACCAGCCAATTGTTTCAAATTATAGCTGTTATCGTAATTGAATATGTCTATGCTATGGACCAGTGGTATCTGCATTATTTTAACATCGAGACGAGGCTATAGGGTCATGTTTTGTGTTTTTTTACCCTTTAGCCTTGTTTTTGTCCGTACTTCCACTGAGATACCGCTGGTTCGCCACAGCGGGTATTCAAATACGATAACAGCCATTATGCATTTGTGAGTGTAACCTAACCCCCTCCCCCCTGAGAGAACAAGAGAGTTGCTGTGGGCCCCTATTATCCCTTTTGATAAGTCAGGCAATCCACCACATAATTTTCCTTTCAAATGCCAGACGAATATACTTGTCAATGCAAGGGGAGAGCTTTGGCACTCTATGGGTTGACCAGTATATGCCTATGCATCCTGTTAAGCCTTTGATAAGTCTGAATGCAACACAATGCACCCTACTTTATTATTCTGTCTAATGGCAAATTTTATTTGTGAAGGGGAGAGTGCTGAATGAGTTGACCTGCACCCTGATGTGCCCTACTTTTAGTATTTTACTCTGTCTTATGCCAGAGTATTTTACTCTGTCTAACGCCAGATGATTTTACTCATCAAGTGGAGAGTGCTGCCCCTCGATGGATGGATGAATGGAATATTATACTAATTGCTTTGAACAAAGGTGATTCCCTTTATAGCCTGCTCGCAGCCTGAAATTAATTTAGAAGGGGAAAATTTCCCCTTCTAAATTTCAGGCTGCGAGCAGGCTATTCCCTTTGTGGCATAAAATTTAACCAGGGCATTCTTCAAGTTTTCAACACATCTCAGGATTTTTCTTGGCATCTGGAAAAGTGTAATAGAATACATCCAATCAGTCATCTACTATATTATGTATATAATTTGATCTACATGCTATTGAACATTATATTATTTTTTTCCTCATTTCAAATATTAAAATATGTCGATCTTTCAGACATAGAAATTAGAGTGTTGTGAAATAAGCATCCCCACCCATGTACTATCCATAAATGCATATTCGTCAAGAAAAATTCATGTCTATTTGCTGGCCTTTTTATATATGAACTAAAACTTTACTTGTACAACTATCTATTGGAACCTTTGCAGAGATGCCTCCTATGTTAGCCATGAAAAAAGATTAAAATTGTCTGTTAAAATCACAACTCAACATTGTAGTGTGAGCCTTGCAAGCTTTTATTCAACACTTTATACTCCTACAGCTCGAGACACTTGTTAGGAACAGTTTTGATCTTTTTTGTGCCCATTACAACCATACATTGGGCCTCTTATGACAATATATTAAAACCCCAGGATAAGTTCGACTATTGACACCATGGCATTTGTGACTTGACACTGCTTGACACTTGTCCATCATTTTAAGCCTTATAAAGGCATTTCTATTACAATACTGTATGTGAAAATTGATGTTGGGGCTGTTGGATCTTTGGGTAAGGACTCCAGAGGAAAACAAAAACTATAACCTACCCAAATGGCAAAATAAAACACAACGAAAAGTGATAAAGGCAGAATAACACCAGCTGCTGTACAGCGTCGTTATATTTGTAAATTTCGTATCCAATTTTTTCTTTTAAAAAACAGAATTTAGTACAAATGAAGCACAGAGAAAGAGTTTAATATACATCTTACCGGTAAAAAGAAGTGTTTCTTCTTGATATTAAAGAATTGTGGCATCATGAAGCCATGCAAAAACTCGGCATTTTTTCTTGATGTTTTTTATATAAATTTTCAGCAGAGTTTCAGCTTTTTTGTGCAAAAACCAGGGGGGTGAAATTGTCGTCTGAAACCGAGGATCGCGGTTGGTCAGTGGTAATTACCACGAGGATTTGGGACCAGTGGCGTCATTCTGGCGTCAGCAGACGTGAAAATCCGCCATGTTTTTGGCTTCACTTTTTGATGCCGAGCACTTCCTCCAGTTATATTATAGCTCAGTGGAGGCATCCAACCACGCCATCAATCCCAGTAAAAACATTAGGTCACGTCAGCTAGTTTCATATCCATTTATTTTATTATCCATGATAAAACTAAACTGACTTTTAAAATGGCTTTATCGATAAACTTTGAGTTTGCAATAAAATGACTTCGAATTCTCGCTTGCAAATGACTCTGCTTTCTTTTTTATTTAAAAAATTCAATATCATAAAAAAGGGAATCAATATTACTAAAGATACACTGAAATAATATGCTGTCTTGTTTAGTTGTTTCATATATGCAAAGGCCGTCTGGTTTTAAATTAAATCCATTATAAAATCAATATTTAAAACAAAGTTACCTTCGTTAACGTTGGCTCACTTCTTTTAGCCGATTCTTTCGCTATTTCTTTCTTGAAATTTACAAAATCTTGCGAAAATGCGAGCGAAAATGAAATATATTTGTGATATTTGCAAGAAATTTATCAATCATCAAATCAAGAAATGTTTGCTATTTAGCTGTCGTCATGCAGTCGGGGAGTTAGGTAACATCGAGTTGGATTCGAGTTCGAGTTCGAGTTGGGCTACGAGTTGGACTTCGAGTTAAACTTCGAGTTGGATATTTTTCTTTACTTTTCGGGAAAATGACAATTGTATTTCACCCAACCTTTTTTGCTGCGGAGCGAGCGAGCCTGAACCAAATTTACACATATGGGGGAATTTATATCTTCATTATACCATTGTTTACCGCAGCTGTAGGCCTACATTGTGGTCGTGCGCGATCGGAAATGCTCAGTAACCTTTTTGTCGGTTGTGCTTCCACAACACCTTGTGGTAATTTTGAGTTACAGATTACAGTTACAGATATTGCACCCCGCACACTCCCTATATCAGGGTTTTTCAGTGACTGGCTATATTAGGACCAGAACTGGCGTGAAGCAGACCGAGGTAGACTGTGAACTTACATATGGCGCTGTAAGCAGCCGCTATTAGTCCGTACCTCATTACCTCTGCCTCAGTACCTCTGCCCCCTGACCTGACATGGTTTCCGCACAATTTTGAAATGTTATAATAAATCTTTTTACAGAGATACCTTTCTCATATCATGTACTTCATTAGTTCATTGTTTGTATTCTTAATTCGAAACAAAAGCACTCGTACTCTAATTTATTTATAGTAGACAGTGCCGGACACCAAAAAATACACAGTGAGATATTTTCCATAACTAGATCTTCACTAGTGAAGATATCGATTAAGTGTTCATTTTCTTTGTTATTTTTACTAACGACCATATAATCATATTATTTTTACTAACGACCATATAATCATTTAATACACGGTGGTTTGAAGTTTCATATCTTATTATTATTTTATCTTCTCGTGGTGAAAACTGAAAACAATATTTTTACCACTCAAACGTAAAATTCATATCTTCGCACCGCCTTTCGCTGGAGCTGCGGAGAAACAACAGACTAATCTCAGAGGCAGTGCCATTCTCGTACCCAGAGCCCTTCTTACGCGCGGTCAACGGAGCGCGACGAGGGGCTCTGGCCAAATCCATATCAAACTGGCATCTGATTGGCTACAACGAAGGTTATTGTTCTAATACCGGATATATTCTATTACCATGTTTTTATGATATGCGGTTATGGATTTGGCCAGAGCCCCTCGTCGCACTGCGCGTAAGAAGGGCTCTGGGTATGAGAATGAGACACTGCTGATCCATTCTCGTACCCAGAGCCCTTCTTACGCGCGGTGCGACGAGGGGCTCTGGCAAATCCATATACGAACTGGCATCTGATTGGCTAGTTCTAACACCGGATATTGTTTTTTTACCATGTTTTTATGGTATCCGGTTATGGATTTGGCCATGCCAGAGCCCCTCGTCGCACCGCGCGTAAAGAAGGGCTCTGGGCACGAGAATGGTGCTGATCAGTCTGCTATCGCATACTACACCCTGTCTCCGTACCCAGGCGTTTCTTTGTAAAAAAACAGCGATGCGCATATGACGAGTTCACATGAAGTATTGTAGTACTACACCGCCGTCTAACATCCTCTGTATAGTACTCTCCTTGACCTTTCAATACTAATAATGCAACTTATTTTTCACCCTGCTCGGTTTCCTTTGTTCTTGTCGGGGAATATATTCAATATTCCCCTCTAATCAATTTCCGTTTAATAATCCCCTCTAATATTCACCTGCAATTAATAATCCCCTCTAATATTCACCTGCAATGTCTTTGCAGCACAATGTCTTTGCAGCACAAAAAATGAGAATAAACAACATCGCGAAGGCAATATGGCATTGAGAATTATTTCTTTTCTGACTCATTAACGCGACCTCGCAGTGTGAAAAATAAGTACGTTATTTTGAGGCACCTCGGGGATATGTGTTTATTCACCTCGGCGCTGCGCGCCTCGGTGAATAAATCACATATCCCCTCGTTGCCTCAAAATAACCTATACATATCCTCACACGTAGTATTAGGGAGGCTGGCGCAGGGGCGGGAATATAAAAGAAGGTAGTCATTTTTAGATTAGGATTAGATTAGAGCCAGATTAAGATTAAACCAGGGTTAGGGTTAGAGGTTAGAGTGGGGGTTGGGGTTCAACTTAATATAAGGCATATCGTCGTAATCTTTAGAAAATTTGACAATTAAGGATAATCCCTAATACTACGTGTGAGGATATGCAGAATAGTACTGATATAGTTTCGAATACATATTTTGAACGAAACAATACTTAAAATGTACAAATTTTGATATATTCTTTTCCAAAATACACATAGTAATTACTGTATAAGACGTACAACAGAGTGCATTATAAAAACGATTGATAGTAAAGTAAATTTACATTGCTACGTTTCATTCTCCATACTTTATAAACGTAATAACACGTATTTGAAGTTGCGAAGAAGTAAACATGAATCGGAGTTGTTCGAAAATTTCCAGAACATTCGGAAACGCCAGTGTATAGGTAACTCGAAGTTTAACTCGAACTCGAACTCTAACTCGAATCCAACTCGATGTTTCGGGATTCCCTGTACGAATAAATGGCGATTTTCCAATATAGGCGAAACCGTAAATTAAACTGGTTTTAAAAAATCCCCAGTGGTCAATGCTTATGCTTTTTCACTTTTTCCTGCAATGTGCAGTTTTCTCATTACCCAATCCGTACTTAATTTCGCGCATCCTTAATTTCGCGATTTTTGAAGGCAATATTTTAGATATATTGTATTATAGAGACTTTGTTTTTCCTAGGCGAAAATAGAAAAGCGGCATTAAATTTTGCGAAAGCTTTCTGAGCAACATTTTATTTTCTACAAAAAAATTTACTGTAACGTTCAATACCAGTCAACATAAGGTATATATTGTGTGTACGGTAGTCATCATTCTTGCGGGTAACAAGACAAAATGCAAACTGTAGCATTTTGTTATTTATGTCGATATATTGAGCTTCACATGTTTTTGATCATATTGATCAAGAATTTTATTATTCCAATTTTTGACTAGGGTGTTTAATTTCGCATGTGTAAATTCCTCGCTGCAAACACATGACATTGATGTGAAAAGAGTCAGTTATTCCTCTGCCGAAAGTTGTGGGTTTTCTCCGAGTACTCAATTTCCCCCCACACGGAATTTTGACAGGGTGGGTTGGGACTAGACCCTAACTGACCCTTCTATTGTACAGTAGCTGTGCCATGTGATCAGACATGTGTCATTTTAAGGTAGCAGCGTTTGAAAGCTGTGTGCTTCGCATTTCAGCTTAGCTTTCAGCTGCACACCACCAGTAATTCCCTTACTAAGAGTCTAGGGAAGTCCAATACAGATCTAGGAAATATATTTCTCTTCCTGGAAGCAAAATCCAAAAGTTAGAATTTCTTGTGTAAGTCAATTATAAAACTTCCTGCGTATGTAGACCTCAGAGAGCGTATATGGTGCCACACAGGGTGATATAATCATGGCACAAGACAATCTCGACTTGCAAAAACGCTTTTGTAAATAATAAGTGAATCACATGGCATTCCAGTATAAAAGATGACAGAAATTCCTGCGAAGATATTTTGTTAAACATTTCCTGGTAGTGCTGCTGCTAGCAGGTGCTGCCGGACATTTTGCAGCACTGATCCAATTCTAAACAGAACATTTGAAGAGTATAAATTTAACAAACAGTACTCTGCTACTTAAATCATCAGGCATTATAGTGAGTCGATCAAATAAGCAAGTGATACTGTATTATATAGCAACTGTGATTCGTAAAGTGCATCTTAATATAGTTCAATGCATTGACATGTGGGTTTTTTCTTAGGATCAGTTTGACACAATAAATTTTTCGGATAATGATATCAAGAAGTTGGAAGGATTTCCATTGTTGAAGAGACTGAAATGTTTGTTAGTCAACAACAACAGAGTATGGTGAGTATTATAACGAAATTTATAACTAGATTTTATATCAAAGCCTAAGATCCCTATTCATGAACAGTACAGTATGGGCAGAATTAGAAAGTTCAAACATTTATGTTAAGAAATATTTGCAGTATATTACAGTAGAGTGTATAAAAAATCTTAGTCCTTATTTCAAACACAGATTTCGGCAAGTATAAAATGGCAGAACTTTTGGGCAGGTAGGTGCATGATTGAGATGGAAAAATAAAACACTAGAGACATTAATACATAACTATTAACTAAACTAAACTAAAAACAATACAATACAAACTGCAGGGCCACCAGCAAATTAAGTTGCTGTATACATGTCAAGTTAGTTTTCCATTCGATAGGTTAGGTCAGGTGTAAGAGTATCGTGCATGTTTGTTTCGTCTATGCCCTTAGATTTTCGTAGCCCATGGCTAAAGTACAGTAAGCATAATGTAGGTTAAAGTAAACGTGCCCATGTATAGTAGTCTTGAGAGTTACGTGTATTGAGATCTAATGGTTTTTATGCATATATATATTTTGACTGCAAGTATGGATGGACAAGGCCAAGGTAAGGTTCCTGTTAAACTTGATGAATGGCGTCACCCAGAAATATTCCTTAATACATGTCATTACCACTGAATGATAAGTCCTCACAGAGTTGGATGACTGCACGTTAAGTTGTGTTCTATTTGTATAATACAGTTTATAACCTTCAAATAATCGGTTCATGTCGATTTAATTCCATTGGCCTCATTATCACGATTTGGGTTAAATGAGCTGCAATTAGGATGCGATTAAGATTTTAACGGATGGAATTTAATGAGAACCAAACCATGCCATGGAAGAAAACGTACAATGAAACGCCAGTGAACTCTACCGGGTGTCCCAAAAAAAACTTGCGCTGTTTGATTTAATGTAACATAAGAACTATACAAGCTATTGCACTCAAATAAGTTGTATTGCATTCAGAAAGGGCTAACTTAGATTTTGATATATAACATTTGAATATCCGTGCAATCTTTACTGAGCTATCGATGTTTTAAATCGAATAAGCATATTTGACAATGTTAAAAAATTGCATAAAATTGCCAATCAAATATTATTTGGTTAAACTTGATTAATATATAGTTTTATTGTGGCCAAAAGAACGAATAAAAAACATAATTGTTGGATAAACATTTATTCATTTATCATAGAAAGTATGTCCCCTTGCACGTACAGTATACAATGTCTTGCACGGGAAAACATAAAAGCCAAACTTTTTCATCTTTTGTTAATCGAAGCATATTCAAAAGGCGAACGAGGACCAACTTTACAATACGAACTCTCAAAGGACGTCAAATATGCTTTCGAACGTTTTTACTGTCGTTCCAATTGAAGTGTTGCTCAAATATTGATTCAATACATTACCTCGGGCTGACCAATTCATTTCATCAAGTCCCTCGAGATATTCATACACTTCCTAGTATAATTGTAAACTTCCTGTTGAATAGTTTGAATGCACCAATCACCTTTGTTGTTTGTGCATCTAACCAATCATAAATAGAAAGGAAGTGACCAGAAATGATCAAATACTTGGAATTGGCTCTTTCACAGGAAGTGTATGAATATCTCGAGGAACTTGATGAAATGAATTGGTCAGCCCGAGGTAATGTATTGAATCAATATTTGAGCAACACTTCAATTGGAACGACAGTAAATTTTTCATGCTTATTTCACTTCCCAAGAAACACGAAAGGTTAACTTATACTAGGACATTACCCGAAATCAAAGTTGAGTTGAAATGCTGAAATTGAAATTGTTAAATTTTGTGTAAAGTGGCAATTTGTTTTCATATAAATTTGATCGCCATGTTTCTCGATTTTTTTACTCATTTTTAAAGCGTGCGCCACATTCAAACGTTTGTATCTCACGTAATATTACATGAAAGTTTTAGGGCTGTATATCAAAACCTAAGTTAGCCTTTCCTCAATACAATAAAACTTATTTGAGTGTAATAGCTTTTATAGTTTTTACCTTACATAAAATCAAACACCGCAAGTTTTTTTTTGGGACACCCGGTATATATCTGGAGCAAGAACATCGGTCATTCGGCCTAATGAGAAAAGTGAAGCCAAGATGGCGGACAGTGACGTCCAATAGCTCTGAAGGTCGTAAATAGCTCTTATACCATTTTTCCCAGCTACAGTACAGTAATTCCACTTTTTTTACTGTATTGCTAAACAAGTTATCAGTTCGTAAAACATAGTGTTATTCTTTAAATCGATGTCAAAATACGAAATTTCGGCACGCTCCTCGCCAAGGTGGCGGAAATTGAAGCCGCTATTGGATTTCAGTTCCAGTCCCTTTCTATTGTTTTTGTCTACGCGGTTAACACGAAGCCAGCTTTTGGACTCGAGTTATGAGAAAAGTCTTCACTTTTTGGACTCGAGTTCTCGCTCCAGATATATATGGCGCTCACTGTGAAACGCACACTCAGCGACATGGTAATTTTTATTCCAAATCACGTGAACATAATCAGCCAATTAAATGACCAACATTTAATGAGGTGTTATACTGTATAATATAGTTCACACCACAACCACTTGGTCCTGGACGATTTTTTATTCCGCTTAACTTGCGCCGTAGTTCAATTAGAGTTCAGTCTTGAAGATTTATAATCGTGTCAGTCTTTGGGTCAGCCTTGAAGGAGCGAATTTTTCAGTCGGTTCAGTTAAGTAGGATGTGACAAAGTCCACATTATTGTCATGTCTAACACCAAACATATTTTACACATTTTAAAAGAAAACATTTCTCGTTTGCATTATTTTGTACTTTCGTTTTTAGTCGAATTGGTGAAGGATTGGAAACCTGTTTACCGAATTTAGAGACTTTAGTTCTGACCAATAACAGTATGCAAGATCTGGTGAGTTATGTCATATATTGTTTATAACAAATGTTTGCAATTTCAGAATTTATTCTATGGTACATGCAGAAAATGTTTTGTTACCAACTGGTGTGGCTCAGGAATTAGTGTTCACAGTATATAGGTGGCAAGACTTGACGGTTTATTCGAGCATCCCCTTAATGAAAGCGAGCCATTCATAAATTATCGTAGATCTTGCTGCCAATACCATCAAAGATTAACCTTTTAGTGCCACGAGAATAAAATTAGAGCCGGTCCCAAAATGAACCTTTATTAGGGTTCATTCCTCTCTCATCTTCCACCTGTGGCTAAAATACTGTGATACTTTCTCAGGCCAGTTCAACTATTTCGAGTGAAGATTCTTCATCTTGGTTATACTTTATTAAGTTGCACTTAAATTTCCGAACATGCAATGTAAATAGTCTTTATACTGTAGTTTTGTCTTTTGCGTATTGTTCTGTTATTTTTGTTAGGTTGGTCTCCACATGGTCCTTTGTCCTGTTGACCACACCCTCAACCATACTTTCAATATGTTTAAAATTTTGTATTATATGGTTGTAAAGAAATAAAAGTTGAATTCTTCAACTGACTTCTTTAACTTTTCTAAAGCTGCTTAGTACCTGTACTTAAAATATATTTGCGTATTACTAGAATATTACTAATCGTTTAACAGGAATTTTATTTTTTCCCAGAGTGATTTGGAGTCTTTGAAGAGTATCAAATCATTACGGTATTTGAGGTACAGTAGGATGCGAAATATATATAAAAATTTTTTGTAATCTCTGTAACTAAATTACAATGATACTATTATATTTAACCCATTCGTCGTCACCCTTACATGTATATTTATCAAATTGCCAGCCACTGGTGTTTTGAAATAGTCATCAAACTATCAGAACGAGTGTCAAGATGACTTTTAACATGACCTATACAAGGAAACAAGTCGCGGTGACAAATTTTATTGTGTGACGTATGTGAAGATTCTGACACGGGGACAGATTTTGTCTCTACGGGGACTTGTCCCTACGACCTGTCCTTGTGACTTGTCCTTACGGCGTGTCCCAGTGGCAGACATGCACGTCGCGAAATGTTAAGGAGGGCATATTTAGATCACCACTTTTCTTGCTAATCAATCAAAAGTTTAAACCAATCGTCTGCCTGCAGCCTCTTTGATTTACTTGTTACCCAACGTTCATAAGAATATAGGCCCAGCGTTTACTGTAACAGACGAAAGGGATCTGTTTAGGGATCTGATCGAGGCCGGCTAACTCTATCAAAATTGCTGTCATCACAGTGACGTAATTTGTGCTTTGATGAAAGTCTTTGAAAGAGGTTTATACTGTCACCCACTTCAACAAAACCGCACTTTATTGAAAGAGACTTTGATTGTGTGAACCGGAGCTTCGGTGGCGAAGTGGTTAGGAACTTGCCTTTCACCTCTAAGGTCGCAGGTTCAAATCTCAATGAGAATTTCTCAATGTGACTCGAACCAAGTCCTCGTGTGAAAAGAGTAAAAGTCAACGCTCTGCCGAAAGTCGTGGGTTTTCTCCGGGTATTCCGGTTTCCTCCCACAAGGAAAGTTGACAGGGTGGGTTAGGCACATAGGTTAAGGGGCAGATCATTAATGAGGTATGGACTAATAGCGTCTGCTTAAAGCACCATTTGTAAGTTCACAGTCTACCTCAGTCTGCTTCACGCCAGTTCCGGCTGTAATTGTAATGCGCACTTGACCACTTAACAAATATAAAACATTTTCCGTGTTGATATACAGTTATATCAACACGAGTGGAAATTGGGAAAACGAGAAATTGTGTGGAAACACGACGCCCGACACAATTTCGAGTTTTCCCAACTTCCACGAGTGTTGATATAACTATATATCAATACGGAAAAAATGTTTTATATTTGTTTTATAATATAGCAATGTCAAAAGCCCGAAGAATAAGAACAATTTCCGTGTTCACAAGCGGCGGAAAATTTCCCGTGTTGACATGGAGTTATATCAACACGGCTCTTAGCCAATCAGCGTTCAGAATTTACAAATGCTATATTATAAATACATATGTAAAATCGCGCAACAGAAATATCAAATATTATTATTATTAACCGGCCTTTAGTGACAGTAGGATTTTATTCGATATCATCATTGTTTTGTAATTCTTTTGGTTTCAGCCTGATGCGTAATCCCATACTGAACAAACCAAACTACAGATTGTATGTCATCCACAGTTTACCTCAAATAAGAGTCTTAGATTTCCAGAGGATAAAACAACGGGTAAGATAAAAAGAAAAAATTGTGAATCACTTTGAACGACTGGAATCACAGTCAATATTTAGATTTGGAAAACATTTGGATTTGAATATACATAAAGATATTATCAACTATTATTAAAATCCTTCAATTATTTTGTCCTTTTTGTCTTGAAAGTGTCGATAACGAACCTATCCTTTTGTCTGTAACGAACCTATCCTTACGGACACCTCTTTAATATAGACGTCTCTCTAAATCGTATAATATGGACACCTCTTTAATACAGACGTCTCTCTAAATCCTATAATATGAACACCTCTTTAATACAGACGTCTCTCTAAATCCTATAATATGGATACCTCTTTAATACAGACGTCTCTCTAAATCCTATAATATGGACACTTCTTTAATACAGACGTCTCTCTAAATCCTATAATATGGACACCTCTTTAATACAGACGTCTCTCTAAATCCTATAATATGGACACCTCTTTAATACAGACGTCTCTCTAAATCCTATAATATGGACACCTCTTTAATACAGACGTCTCTCTAAATCCTATAATATGGACACCTCTTTAATACAGACGTCTCTCTAAATCCTGATATGGACACATAACGTACACTTCTCTGACGCGGACATCTCTAATAATGATCTCTCTCTAATACGAACACCTCCTTCGAATGTGTCCGCACGTCTTGGTATAAGTTTCTGAATGTTTCTAATACAGTATCACTCAATTCCAAGCATTCAGTCTCTCCTTACGGACAACGTTTTAATAGTACAAACACCTCTGATACGGATACCTCGCTAATACGGGTTACTTCTCTAAAACTAATACTTCTCTGCTACCGATACAGGCACTTCTCTAATTTAATACAGGCACTTCTCTAATTTAATACAAACAGTTCACTGCGGTATGTCCCGACAAATTTCTGGTATGTTCTCTTTTAAAAAATATCCTCTATAATGCAAACCATCTCGAATACTGACCACAGACACTGATCATCGGCCCCAGGAAAAAATACATTTCAACCCGAGCTCTTTATTACAGACACGCCGTTGTTCAGGTGGTAATAGTTTGTGTACGTTCTATAATATGCATTAGTTTGTTTGCAGTTAATGTACAGAAGTACAGTATCAATGCTTTACTCACCTGTATTTAGATGTACAGTACCTGTAGCATTGCGTTATTTAGATGTACCTGTAGCATTGCGTTGTAGTTGTATACAGTAAGCAGTATACTGTACATTAATTTGTGTACATGAACTTGTGGTTAAAGCTCGACAACTGGCTCTGTAGTTCAGTTGATTAGAGTACTCCACCCAAATCGCAGGTTCGATTCCTGCCAGCGGGCCAGATGCCTTCTGGTTAGGTCTAATAAATGTATAAGATTCACGCTCGAAATTTCCATCTACAAATCCCTTAAGCAATTAGTTTTATCGAGTGTAGATGCCCAAAAACCTGATATTTACCCATACACCTTATATTGACATCACCTTAGTATTTATACTTGAGGTTAGAGCTCGACGACTGCCCTCTGTAGCTCAGTTGATTAGAGCGCTGCACCTCATTTACTGTATACAGAATACAGTACCTTTTTTAGTTACTGAACACTCAACAGCATCAGGAAAGTCTTAAGCCCTGGGCAAACTAGGAAACGTTGTGGAAACATTTGTGATTCTCGATGTTTCCTCAAATGTTTCCCTGTTTGCCCACCCGTGGAAACATTGTTGCGGAAACAAAATTTGCTTCCCGAGAAGCAAAAATGTTTCCTAGCGAATTCAGAAACATTTGATGTTTCCCTACAGTATGTTTCTCACTAATGTTTCCTAGTGTTTGCCCACTCTTGGAAATATGGCGTAACATTGGTAGGAAACAATGTTTCCACAACAATGTTTCCTAGTTTGCCCAGGGCTTTAAAAGTGACATAATCGTGATGACCACCCTGCTTTAAACCTTCAGTGTCCATATTAGGGAGGAGCGAGTTTACAATTAACTCTAACGCCCGTATTCTAAAAGCTCACTCACACTCAATGAGTGGAGTTTCAATCTGAGCTTCTCTTGAGTGTCAATGCTGTTTTTGAATAGCTGGAGGGTGAGTGGTCGCAGAGTAAGGTATGACACTTATCTTTTTTAGGAACGAGAGGCAGCGGCAAGAATGTTTAGTGGTAAAAAAGGGGAGAAATTAGTGAATGGCGCCATGAGAAACAAAACGAATAAGTAAGTTATAGTCATGCTTGTGCTTGAATTATCCGGAAATTTAGTGAAGATAGTGCATTCACTCGTGAAGTAGCATGTGAGTCTCATATTAATGTTTACAGTATGCTTGCTATAATGCTATTGCGTATAACGACTCTTGGAATTCACTTCTTCTATAGCTAGTTAAATCAATATCAAAACTGCATGAACGTATATGTACAGTACGCATTTGATTACCAAGTTTTTGAAACGACTGCGGATCTACAAAATTACGATCAATGTTTGTGGGAATTTTATGACCTGTACACCATTGGCGATCAATACGAGGTAATTGTAACATACGCTACTGTTGCCATTTCCAACTTAGTCTAGGACCTGTTTATGAGTTTGTATGCAATTCATTTAGGACAGATAATCTCAACTGTTTTAGGGCAAGTTGACCATGACGGTCAACATGGTAACGCTGCCCGAACCCCAATCCGGGGCGAAACGTCCGAAACTGACCACACCCAAAAACGACGCTTTCGCCATACTGCTATCTACCAAACCATAAAAGCTTTGGCTATTCTGAGGTGCTTATATGGTTCAGAGATGGTACTTTTGGAGGTGGTCATTGGTAAGTGTGAAATGCCTAGCACTAATATTTCACAAGAAAATGACCATGCAATAATCATAGTTAAACGTCAATTTGTGGCTTGCAACTTCAGATAAACAGCGCTGGACTTACTGTACATTACCTTTTTCCCTAAATCTTTTTGATAGAAACATAATTGGTACTTATTTAAATATATTATCACTGGTTTGGTGTAAAATAGTTAATATTTTCTGACCGAAATAATAATTTGAAATGTGCCTACCTCCTGCAAATGGACGTATTTGGCCAAGTTCTCCACTTTACTCCGCTGTTTATCGGCGATCTCGTCGACATCCTTCCAAAAATGTAAATCATCTCAGACATAATGGTATCAAGAACATTTTAAACAAGTTTCAACTTGGTTTCAAGTAGATCATAGCTGTTTAACCATCGACAAGGTAAATCCACATCTTTGTCCAAATTCGGCGTCATTTTGTCATCCCATGTCGCTTGTCAACAATTCGGCCTTGTTACTCTTCCATTCACGCCATATCCATTGCACAAATAACAAATTTAACTCTTTGTCAAGGGTATTAAAATAAAAATACAAATGAAATATGCGAAATGCAGCATTTTATCACCCGGTAAAATGTTGCTTACGAGTCCTTCAAAACATTTCGTACAAATCTCGCGTGGTTTAGCAACAGGGACGTGACAGGGGGGGGTAGAGACTTGAAAAATGAAAGGAAAGCCCACACAGTATGGTAAAACCAACAATCAACATTTAATTTGTATGACTTGTTCATATTAATAAATAATAATATGTATATATTTGTCGCTACAAGAAATAAAACAAACGTTTGTATGATTGTATTTAGCTTTTAGTCTATTTCACGCAGCCTTCTTCTATCTTCGTGAAATAATTCCCCCTCCCCCTGTCACGTCCCTGTTACTTTGTCACGCGAGATTTGTACGGAATGGTTTGAAAGACTCGTGAGCAAGATCTTACAGGGTGATAAAATGCTGCATTTCGCATATTTCATTTGTATTTTTATTTTAATACCCTTACTGAAAGGGTTAAATTTTAAAATTGTTATTTGTGCAATGGATATGGCGTGAATGGAAGAGTAACAAGGCCGAATTGTTGACAACCGACATGGAATGACAAAATGGCGCCGAATTTGGACAAAGTTGTGGATTTACCTTGTCGATGGTTAAACAGCTATGATCTACTTGCAACCAAGTTGAAACTTGTTTAAAATGTTCTTGATACCATTATGTCTGAGATGATTTACATTTTTGGAAGGATGTCGACGAGATCGCCGATAAACAGCGGAGTAAAGTGGAGAACTTGGCCAAATACGTCCATTTGCAGGAGGTACACTGTAGGCACATTTCAAATTATTATTTCGGTCAGAAAATATTAACTATTTTACACCAAACCAGTGATAATATATTTAAATAAGTACCAATTATGTTTCTATAAAAAAGATTTAGGGAAAAAGGTAATGCTGTTTATTTTTTTTTATGCTGTAAGGTCCACTGCTGTTTATCTGAAGTTGCAAGCCACAAATTGACGTTTAGCTATGATTATTGCATGGTCATTTTCTTGTGAAATATTAGTGCTAGGCATTTCACACTTACCACTGACCACCCGCAAAAGTACCATCTCTGAACCATATAAGCACCTCAGAATAGCCAAAGCTTTTATGGTTTGGTAGATAGCAGTATGGCGAAAGCGTCGTTTTTGGGTGTGGTCAGTTTCGAACTTTTCGCCCCGGATTGGGGTTCGGGCAGCGTTACCATGTTGACCGTCATGGTCAACTTGCCCCAAAACAGTTGAGATTATCTGTCCTAAATGAAATGCATACAAACTCATATACAGGTCCTAGACTTTGTGAAGCAGTCCCTTTATGGAGGAGTGTAAGCATTGGTTCGATATAAACTATACAGTAGTTCGTCTGCTAATTTTGCCGTGACAAGCAGACGGATCGTTCGTCCTCAAAAGAACTTGCGTGCGTTGTTCGTTTTGAAGGGTATTTCATCTATGCAGGTGTATTCGTGTACCCTGGATTCCAGAGCCTTCGACAGTAAATAATAAATTGAAATTTCGCGAAGGCTCTGGTTCAACGGGGCGATTCTTTGATTAAACCGCGCCAATCACAAAACAGAATTAGTGGTTTTAGTACAGAATCTGTACTAAAACCACTAATTCTGTTTTGTGATTGGCGCGGTTTAGTCAAAGAATCGCCCCGTTGAACCAGAGCCTTCGCGACATTTCAATTTATTATTTACTGTCGAAGGCTCTGGAATCCAGGGTAGTATTCGTGCGGCGTCAGACGAATTACTGATAAGATTACAGTATCAGCAAAAATCGATGCTTTACCCGTAAACCGATGCTTGACTTATAGTAGTAGAATTTTTGCGAGAAAACCAACATTTCATATTTTTGTTTCAGGACGACAGTGTAAAAACAATTAGTTAAAATTTTGTTGGTTGTCTCAGATTCCTTAGATTTTTCGCCTTGTGTTTATACTAAGATAGATTGATGGTCCGTCCGACCAATGATGCGTTTTGTATAATGACCTACTAGTTTACAATGGATCATTATTTAGATCATTATTTAGGCCTCCTATTAAACGGGATGTTATAATTTTTTGTTTCAGATTTGTTCCAGGTGCGCCTCTTGCTAAACCTCCTGCTCCTCCACCACCAGCGAAGAAAAATCCCCAACGAAACAACATTGCGGCAATCAAGGTTAGTGAACTGTTTTGCTGTTGAAAAGTTAGTTGTAAATATCGACTATTCCAATTGTTTCATGAAACCTTTGAGCAATGCTGGCTCTATACTAAATTCAGTAGCTATTTTTTTCCTCTGTGGGCCTCTGTCTATCTGTGTAAACCCAGCATCGACCTCACCAGAGCCAGTTTCACACTGCACTGTATAACCGTTGAAATTGGGCTCTGGATTAGATGACCAAAGCGAGATCGATTGGCTTCTCTGAGAACCGCTAATAACTGGAATTTGAGCAGTTTTTCGCTTTTCAAAAACCTATCTTAAAATGTCAAACAAATATTTAATTTCTACTGCAAGTTTTATTGCACTTCGCTTTCCGTATGTCTCACCGCTTGTGAAAGTCGCGTGCAGCCGAAAGGCCCGGCGGACGAAGATGAACACCGGTCCTCACTGTCTCCAAGCCAATCACCCCCTGCTCATCCCACCCACCTCACCAGATCAAGCTGGACCCTGAGTCGGCTGAGTGTAACTGCTATGACCATCTTTGCTTTCGTTCTTTTGCTTTGTAGGCTGCTATCGCTAATGCTAAATCGCTGGAAGAAGTGCAAAAACTGGAAATGATGTTGAAAACTGGTCACGTCCCCGACATTCAACAGCCCATGGCGGTAGACAGAAGATGAACTAGAATGTCGATACATTGTCAAAGCACTTGCAACAAAATACGCTTGGAACAGATTTGGATAACATACGTCTGGAGTGGTTCCATAACCAAACGTGAAATTCACTATATACTGTATACATTGTGAAAAGCACAAGACTTTTTCATGAGAAACAGTGTACGGAGTCGGCGTACTCCTACGTATTGCAATACCTATAATTTCTCATGGAAAGACCTCCTCAGCTTCATGTGCAATTGCCCATTTAGGATCATATGATATTTTTACATTTTATCACTCTTTGTCTTTATACATCTTTTCATATACGATATCGAATATAAAATGCATAACGAAGAGTGATAAAAGATGGAAACATTGCATCATCGGATATTTGTATGCGAAGCCGAGGTGGTGTATTACACTGATCTGAAAATAGAACTGGATAATGCATCTGCTGATGCATAAATGAAGCCAATGCCGGCCGTATTGGTGTGGCAACCACAAATCTACCGTGGTGTTGCTGACATGTTAGACGAGGTTTCTACACTTTCTTGTTGGGTATGTATTGTCCAGTGAGCTCTATATATATCCGGAGTGAGAACTCTGATGAAAAAAGTGAAGTCAAGATGGTGGAAATTGACATCCAGTGCCAGTCCTTAGGGACCGGTCATTATTTATGGCCGGGGGGGGGGGGAGAGAAACATTTTCTTGGCCAAATTTTTTAGTTACCCAACTTTCAAAAAAAATTTTCTCCACCCAACCCCAGCACTCATTCAAAATCTTAGACCCACCCTTAATTTTGTCAGTTCACTTATTTAAAAGCTAAATTGACTTATTTGAGTTTTGAGAGAACAAAAAGTCAGCACGTATGAACTCTGACACTTTATCATGACTGTTATGGCAGGTTCAAATGGAATGCTTTGCAAATCGATATATAAAGTGAATGATATTTATTCGATCTTAATAAAACAAATAATACAAATATTTTAGTATTTTCCCGACTTAATGATTTTTGCTTTACCCACCCCTTGGCTTGGTGAATTTTTATTCAATCCACCCATTTCCACCCATAAAATTTTGTTTACCCACCCATTTTCTCTTCGCCCCCTCCCCCCTGGCTATAAATAATGACCAGGCAATTATATAGTGTTTAAAACGTTATGGGAAGGTGTTTTTTTAATTTGCATCAGCTAAAGGCTGGTGTACACTGTCAAAGTTTCTGTAATCACAGTAAGAATTTTGGATTTGTAAATTCTGAGTTTTGAAAGATTTGTAAGAAATGTTTGAGAGAACTGACGCAGTGTTTATCATTGAGTCGTTTCCCTCAAACATTTCTTACAAATCCTTCAAAACATAGAATTTACCTATGCAAGATTCTTACTGTGATCACAGAAACGTTGATAGAACATTTAATTTCTAGTAAACTATGCAAGCACCTAGCAGTTCGATTCGTAAGGAATGGGCAAATTTATAAATATCTTCTCATTATAAATATTTGTAGCCTCAACTTGGCTCATTGCATTCAAACTGAGGATATTCTATCCAGTTCTATACTCTTCAGATCAGTGATGTATTGATATTTTCACAAATGTACTCGCCATTTTGAGTCGTGGTTTATTGTAGACAACCCACACTTCGATGTGAAAGCTTTTCTTCTCTTGTAAATAATACAATACGACGAATTTATTTTGATATTTTCTGGAACACAATGTCTTAAGGTGTTCTTCGTCATCTCTACATCGGGTACCATTGATAATGTTCATCGTGCCCCGAAATAGTCCGGGAGATGCTAGGGAAAAACTCACCTGCGCGATCATGGGGTAATTCTATTTTGCATTGATCTTGGCGCTCCAATTTCTTGTGGGCTCCTGCCAACACGTTTTTCTTCGATTTTCATATTAAAGGTATTGTTATAAACGTGAAATTTCAGGTTTATTTATATAAAAACTTTCATAAAGCATCTTTAGAAAGCGCGCAAAAAAACTACATATGAGATATTTTTACGGTTGCCTTGTTTTTTTTTCAAGCGGTGTTCGAGTTCTTGCTGTTCCAAAGTGTGAAAAATAGGTCGCAAAAATCCAGGGCACTAGTCTGAAAACACGATGTCAAAAGCTCATAACCAAGAAGAACTTAAGATGACCGTTTAAATGTCTTACAGTATATGTAGTTTTCTAATGATGCAAGTTGTTTTTGCTGTGGGTCGCTGTTAGGGCCCTTTTTTTATAATTTACATAAACAATATCACTGATGATCTTGAATCAAATCTTTTCACTTATGCCGATGATACTACGTACCTTGTGGAAGTTGTCAATGATTATTCTGCTGATTATAAACTTATTAATGATTTAAGATTTCGGAGTGGTCTGACAGAAGGGTGATGACTATGAAGAGGGTGGGAAAGGGTATTTTCGTGAGCCGTGAATTGTCAATATTTGTCCGCGTGAAATGTGAAATGCTTGATTTTTGTGTCGTGAAATGTGTGAAATTTGTTCTACAGCCGTGAGGCGTGATTGTCGATTAAAATGCTCCGTGAAATGAGAATTAAGGATGTCTGTTTCGTGAACTGTGATTTTGCTTTGTTTATTTCGATCTATTTTAAAATATAATAAACATGATACGCGATAGTCAATTTATATGATCTCACTCGATTGCACAAAAGTAAAAACTTCGGAGGCCTTTCGGAGGTCGTCGGACATGCTCATCACTCGAACTTTAAGTTATGTTGTAGGTTTTAACTGACAGGTAGAGAAGTGAGAGAAGTTAAAGCGTAGATACTGTACCATGCATTAAACATGCTCTTAATAAACCTATTATTATTATATTATTTTATTAGAATCTGGTTTTCCGTGAAATTGCTTTTTTAAGACACGTGAATCGTGAAACGGTTTTTTTTTTCGTTGTGAAACGTGACCCATACCCCCCCCCCTTTCCCGCCCTCGATGAATCCTATCACGGTTAATAGAATCCTATCAAAAACCACAGCCATTGAACTATAAATAAACTGGAAGGTTAACTCAGGTGGGGGGAGTTATGAGCAGAAATACTCGACACTGAACGTTGTGCTGTATATGAAACTGAAGCTATTGAAAAACGTTATTTGGTGTAGAAATTTCAAGACTTTAGCTAAAAGGGAAATATTGAAATATGTATTTTTTAAATATTTTTCTTTTTGCAGAAGTCTTGAAATTTCCACACCGAATAGCAATTTTCAATAACTTCAATTTAATATATAGCCCAACGTTTGGGATCAAGTATTTCTGCTCATAACTCAGAAAAACTATTTTGGCTTCATCAAATCATAGGCCTTCATCATAGCAGTTAGCCTTCCAGTTTATTTATAGTTCAATGACCACAGCAGACCCAGGCTCTATTTACGCGGGCAAATAGAGCCTGTGGTCTGTGGATAGTTAATATATGGCCTGGGTCCCTGTGCAGAAACGCGATCCATGGTGTTTGCAAATAAAAAAAGTCAAGGACGACCATCCTTTACTTTTATTAAAGGGGTGTGATTTGGGCAGGTCAATACCCACACTCATATTGGTTTAAATTTTCAAAGTAATATTAGTCCAGGAGAACTAGGGGGGGGGGGGTATCGTAACCTGAGTAGGGAATTTATGAGAATATGTGACTTTGGTCAATTTTGGGGCGCTGATTTCAAAAATCGATGTTATACGGGCCAATACCGGGGCCTTCAGCCTCGTTTTGATGCATACAGCCTCGTTTTGGGGCATATTTAGGGAACACGTTAGTTGTCTTAGTTAGCTAGGGAAACCAGTGATTTTGGTCAATTTCGGTGCGCTGATTTCAAAAATCGATGTTACACGGGGGAATACCAAGGCCTTCAGCCTCGTTTTGGTGCATGCATCCTCGTTTTGGTACATGCATCCTCGTTTTGGTGCAAATAGATGGAAATCATTAGTTAGCTTAGATAGGCAAAGTCGTTGGTGATCTTGGTCAATTTCGGTGCGCTGATTTCAAAAATCGATGTTACACAGCAAACTACCGAGGCCTTCAGCCTCGTTTTGGTGCATACAGCCTCGTTTTGGTGTCTACATATGTGCCTTAGATAGCCAAGGAAGTTGGTGATTTTGCTCAATTTCGGTGCGCTAATTTCAAAAATCGAAGTTATATGCGCAGATATATTGGAACTTCTAGCCTCCGTTTGATACACATATCCTTGATTTAGTGGAACTATTGGGAAGATCCTACTTAAACAAGCAAGAAAGCTAGTGATTTCTGCTCTTTTTGATAAAAAGCAATACTGTTGCCCCATTAAATTGAGGTCATGTTATGCATTGCATTAAAAAACATGTACATTCTGATCACAAACCTTGCACTTTCCATTTCAAAATTCACTTGTGTCTTCAATTTCCACATCCAAATCATCCTCGTAGTCATCATCGGAGGACAAACTGTTCTAACTCTCCGTGCCTGCGAGTAGCGCATCAATCTCCCCGAGATATGAAATGTCACTCCAGACACGCTTCCATCTCCGTCCCATCCATGCTCGTCGGGGCTCTCAAGTTCTACTAGCAGCTGATCGGCGTGTCAAAAGATGTACGCGACATAGTTAACTCTCATGATGTGATGATGAAAATTTGACTGGCATAGTGGCATTAGACAAAGGTCAATGATCTTTTTCTTGTTGAACTTGTTCCAAAATACTTTCTTCCTTGCCTCATTGACTGAGAGGATACGTGGATGCCCGTATATAGAACAAACGAACCATTCTAAACACCGAACCAACTCCTCGCTTGCTGTCACCTCCGTACTCAGGGATGAAAATATATCGATAAAGGCAGTGTTCTTGGTCACGGCTTTCCGCACGGCCTGGTTTTCCTTTCGAAAAAAGCTATATACATAATCGTCCGGAAAAGGCATGCGTTCCCAAAAGAGCTCATCTGCGACCAAGGGACAATCCAGTTGACGTCACGTCGATGATTTTCCTGTTCTTCCCGCTGCCATTGTCAATCGGAATCTGCGTGTCCGAAAAATTGTGACCAATAAACAAGCTAAGGTTATTATGTATATATCACCAGATGGCGACCGTACCATTGCAGTTGAGCTACATGGCAATTGGCTAGCATGCACAAATGCAACGAGTTTATTACCAGAATTAACCAGCGACCGCGAGGAAGCGGACAAAAAACTCGTTGCATGTGTGCATGCTAGCCAATTGCCACCTAGCTCAACTGCAATGGTACGGTCGCCATCTGGTGATATAAACATAATAACCTTGTTCATTGGTCACTATTTTTCGGACACGCAGATTCTGATTGACAATGGCAGCAGGAAGAACAGGAAAATCATCGATGTGACGTCAACTGGATTGTCCCTTGGTTACAGAAGAGCTCTTCTGGGAATGCATGCCTTTTCCGGAAACGATTACGTATCTAGCATTTTTCCAAGGGAAAGCAGGCCGTGTGGAAAGCTGTGTCCAAGAACACTGCCTTTATCGATATATTTTCACATTTGGGTACGGAGGTGACAGCAAGCGAGGAGTTGGTTCGGGGTTTAGAATGGTTCGTCTGTTCTATATACGGGCAACCAAGTATCCTCTCTGTCAATGAGGCAAGGAATAAAGTATTTTGGAACAAGTTCAACAAGGAGAAGAAGATCATCGACCTAAGTCTGATGCCACCATGCCAGTCAAATATCATCACATCATGAGAGCTAACTATGTCGCGTACATCTTTTGACACGCCGATCAGCTGCTACTAGAACTTGAGAGCCCCGACTAGCATGGATATGGAGATGGAAACGTTGTCTGGAGTGACATTTCCTATCCCGAGGAGATTGATGCGCTACTCGCAGGCACGGAGAGTTAGAACAGTTTGTCCTCCGATGATGACTACGAGGATGATTTGGATGTGGAAATGGAAGACACGAGTGAATTTTGAAAAGGAAAATGCAAGGTTTGTAATCAGAATGTACATGTTTTTTAATGCCATGCATAACATGACCTCAATTTAATGGGGCGACAGAATTGCTTTTTATTAAAAAGAGCAGAAATCACTAGCTTTCTTGCTTGTTTAAGTAGGATCTTCCCAATAGTTCCACTAAATCAAAGATATGTGTATCAAACAGAGGCTAGAGGTTCCAATATATCTGCGCATATAACTTCGATTTTTGAAATTAGTGCACCAAAATTGAGCAAAATCACCAACTTCCTTGGCTATCTAAGGCACATATGTAGGCACCAAAACGAGGCTGTACGCACCAAAACGAGGCTGAAGGCCTCGGTATTTTGCTGTGTAACGTCGATTTTTGAAATCAGCGCACCGAAATTGACCAAGATCACCAACGACTTTGCCTATCTAAGCTAACTAATGATTTCCATCTATTTGCACCAAAACGAGGCTGCATGCACCAAAACGAGGCTGAAGGCCTCGGTATTTGCCCGTGTAACATCGATTTTTGAAATCAGCGCACCGAAATTGACCAAAATCACTGGTTTCCCTAGCTAACTAAGACAACTAACGTGTTCCCTATGTATGCCCCAAAACGAGGCTATATGCATCAAAACGAGGCTGAAGGCCCCGGTATTGGCCCATATAACATCGATTTTTGAAATCAGCGCCCCAAAATTGACCAAAGTCACATATTCTCATAAATTCCCTGCTCGGGTTACGATACCCCCCTTTCTCCTCCTGGACTAATATTTTCTATCTTGGAGACAAACCTGCCTCACACAAAGGCTGTACCTCACTACTATAAAAGAAATAACTCCAAGATAACTTACATCGATTCATAGACTCTTTAAAACTTTTCAATTGGACCCCTATTTTAAACACAACTGATCCCAACTCTGCATATGCTTTGTTCCAAGATAACCTAAATACTCTATACAATCAACATGTTCCAATAGTCAAAGTTAAGACTCATAAACACCAAGCAAGGAAACCTTGGTTAACCCAGAGCCTGATCAAATCTATTAGAGTTAACAATAAACTTAACAAAAAATGTTTCCACAATAGGTCAACAGACGTAGAAACCAAATACAAAACATTTTGCAATAAATTGAATCACTTAAGGTGACCAAGAAACAATTCTACACAAATAAGCTCAATTATGTAAAAGACAGTATTATTAAAGAAACATGGAAAACTTTGAAGGAGTTGCTAAACAAAAGTAAAACAAAGCATAATTGCCCAGATTCTTTTGTACATAATAATATTCTTATATCAAACAATGAATCAATTGCTAATAATTTCAATCATTACTTTGTTAATGTGGGTTCTAACCTTGCTTCCAAAATCCATGCTACTCATACCAATTTTTTAAATTTTCTAAAGGGATCTAACCCAAATTCATTTGTTTTTTATCTGACCTATCATACTGAAATTTTCAACATATTGATGAATCTTAATACTAATAAGTCTCCAGGTCCAGATAATATAGATCCGCTTGTGTGTAAATTGGCTACTGAGCCACTTACACTGATTCTCACTCATATATTCAATCAATCAATGGAAGTGGGAAGGGTAACAGATCAATTAAAAATAGCCAAAGTTATACCTATCTTCAAAAATGATGATAACAGTAAGTTTTCTAAATATCGCCCTATATCCATTCTACAAATTTTTTCCAAAGTTCTTGAAAAGATTGTTTACTCAAGACTTTTAAACTACCTAACTAAATTCAATATTCTATGTGATAACCAGTTTGGTTTTCGGAAGAATCACTCTACTTTTATGGCTGTATTAGAACTAATTGATGATCTTTCTAACTCAGTGGATAGAGTTTTCAGGAGTCTTCATTGATATGAGCAAAGCATTTGATACGGTCAATCATAAAATTCTTCTTGAGAAACTCCTTCATTATGGTATTAGGGGGTACACCATTAAACTGGTTTTCTGACTACCTTTCTAACAGGAAACAATTTGTCAAATTCAATGATACTTTGTCGGAGCAAAAAAATATTTCTTGTCGTGTTCCCCAGCGGTCAATATTGGGGGACCCTTGCTGTTCCTTCCCTTACCAAACTGACATATATGTAAAATGTCTGCAAGTATCTGTCACATATCTGTTGCAGTACTGCAGCATAACTGCAACAAGGTCTACAGTATCTGCAAAATATTTGGATAAAAGTTGCAGATATTTTGCAGATATGTTGATTATCTGTCAACATCTGCAAAATATCTGCATAAAAGTTGCAGATATTTGTGATATGTCAATTGTCTGTCAAAATATCTGCATAAAAATTGCAGATATATGTAGATATGCCAATTGTCTGTCAATATACAGTCTCTGCAACTACACAGCAAAAAATAATTTCTTATTGAGAAAACAATTCGAACTGATAATATAATAATAATAATTACAATTTATATAGCGCAAATTAGCATTTGTATATGATCAAATGCGCTGATCAATAATTTTACACATATCCGCCTCACTATCTTGAAATATGAATGTTTTCTTACGATTTCGTCATCTTCATATCAAATCATTTTCTTAAGAAAATTTTTGAAACAAGAAATCAAATTCTTAACATAAGAAATAATGGTTAATAATAAATTATTTCTTACTTAAATTTTGCAATTTTTGCATTTTTTTCCAAAATGATATATTTTTCCTCAATATTCTTTTAACAAGATGTGAAATGTCATCCTGGATTTAGATTCTATATGGGTTAGTATATTCACTTTAACTGTAATTAGCCTTTTCTCAAAAGAGATCACAGTGCATATTCTGGGGTCATTTGGAGGGACAAAATATATGGAGACTGGCATCAAATATGTGAAAGAGTAGAAGTATCTACTATCAAATATCAACTTTTTACATAACCAAAAATGAAATATCTCCTTTTTACATTAAACTTTAATTTAAATGTGAGCTGCCATATTTCTTGTCCCTCCAACAAGGGATTCGTGCAATTAGACCCAGGACTTTGGGAAATAGCTAATTAAATATACAAATTCTCTTCTTCATATTTATCTTTGTTAATTAATTTGTTATTAAAGTAAATGAGAAAAATATTGTTTTATTTATATTAAAATACTACATTTGCCCCCTTTAGGAAAGGAAACCTTACCCGACCCCCTTTCCATCATCCCTGATACCATATTACTACATTCTAATTCTACATTCCGTGTTTTATTGTTCAATGATTGTAGAGAATTTTCATTTTCCGACAATTTATTATAAATAAATTAATTAACAGTCAGTAACGGATTGAAAACATTTGTAATAAATATTCCTTATATTCGTAGAGAAACTATATTACATGACAACCGAAGCAACTAACTGGCTGCAATAGTTCGCGCATCGCCAAGAGCCTAGTTTAAGAGGCTGTCTCCGTAAAAACTGACCGATGACTAAGAATTAAAAATCCAAAATGGCTTAAATCTCGATTATTGTTAGCTATTTGATAGCGTTAGAACTTATGAACTTTCCTGGACCAATTCCAAAAGCTTTCCACATTCGTATTCCATCTTTTTCAACTTTGAAGTTATGAAAAGAACTGAATTTGTCAATCTTATGAATTTCAATGGTTTTCTTTGCTTCGTTGACTATGTTAACAGAGGCACTTGTGCCTGTTATCTTCTTTTTGGAGAGAGCTTCCCTGATATCCGACGCAGTTGATATATCATGGCCTTCACAACAGTGTTGTCGAATGGCTTGCTTCATTGAGCAAAGAATGTGGTCGCAAATGTCCTTGCATTGTTGTGGCTCTGAATAATCGTATCTTTCAATGCATATTCCTACTCTTTCCCCCCACATCCTTTGCAGCTGGTATAAGGAAATTATTGTGGTAGCAACCAGCTTCATCTGACCTTAGATAAGCCACGGAGATATTCGGAAATTGCTTTTGAATGTTATGCAGAAGGTCTTCGAGAATAGATGTGACAGCATACCAATCCTGTGTACAAGAATTGAAGAGATGTGCAAAAGACATGACTTTTATTTTAGATGTGATACTGTCCCGGAACACCACGCTACTTATGTGCCAGCTTAAGCCTCTCTGACTGTACCAATCACTTTGTTTCTCTCGGTATTTCAACTGCAAAAATTTCATTGCCCAATCCATGATAATCAAAACGGAGTTACTTTGCAGGTTGGCTATGTCTTGCTTTGCACGTTCCTGGTTTACAGATCTTAGTACATGAGCTTTCCAATGAAGGATATTATCCCGGGATTTTTTAAAATCCCAAACTAAGTCTTCCTTTTGTTCTTCAGTTTCGAATTTGTTCTTCTGTTGACCAATCATCTTCTCAATATCAACAAATGTAGCATTGAGACTTTCACACTACTCGCATATGACTACATGTTGATGGTTGCACTTCTCCCTAAAATTCTTATCATCTGGATCACTCAAAGCATATCTTCGACAATGATCTCCACAAGGGCTTTCTTCCTCATTGCAGTGAAGCTTGTAATCTGTCTTTAGATAAAGCTTTCCATCGCTCAGCCGTTTTTTCACATCCAAACACCATTTTTTCTCCGCACCAGTTTTTTGCAATTGATCGATTTTTGCTGGGCTGCTTCCCTAACTTCTGGTATGCGGTATAGAGTCGCTCGGCTCAGAGGATCAAACAATTATTCTTTACAACACTGTAGGTACTGGGTAATCATTGTCGATCTTGTCACTGTGTGAATGACGTTTGGGATGATGATTTTCTCACCGCTATCAAACTTCAATTTCCTTGTACCATAGGCAGTATCTTGATAAAAGTATGGTCTGTCGATAAAACTGACAAAATGATCAACTTTACCCATGTTGAGGTGAATGCGATGGCGATGCACTTTCTCAACTGGTGTCTCTGGGCCTTGCTCGTTTTATTTGCCACATCGTTACTTTGCAATATGACTCGTGCAATTTCTGCATTTGGGAGCAGAGTATTCACAAGCGTAAATGCTTAGTATCTGAGTCTTCAAGTTTCTGGTGGGTGCATCTCTGAATGCGGTCATTAACGCAATAAGATCATCTGACACTGGCTCTGGGGTATTCTTATCCGACAACAATTTGCAAACGGACTGTAAAAGAGCTTCGTCATCATCAGGAGCAACAATTCCACAAATCAGTTTCAATCCTTCCTCTGCTCTTTCATGCACTCAGAACGTTCGTGTTCAGGTGTGTTTTCCCAAGATTTGTTCAGCTGATAAGGTCAGAGGTGTAAATTGATGTTTGGGAACATGACGAGAAACTTCATCCATAGCGTTGTTATAAGCATCCACAGCTTCTGTGGTCTCAGGTATCTGTGAGATGTTGCATTCCAGATCTGACATATTTTGCGAAAAGCTTTGCATCCAGTTTGGGGTTCTTACAGTTTTGCGGGAAGACCTGGGAGTGGCTGCGTTGAAAAATTCCAAATGGTCTTCAATAGCAATTTTTGCCAATATAAAATACGAAAAAGCTAATAAACAGGTTCTTTCCAGTTGTTTTTTTTCTTAAAGCAAGCACTAATAAATAACTTTGGTACACGTTAGTTACCTTTCTTCCTGGCATTGCTCTTCATGTAGATCTTCCTCAGTTTTATCTGGTTGAGCAGCCTCTGCACATCGACCAAATTTGACCTACTTGGCTGGTCCAATAATTTTTTCAATGTGTTTTTTTAGACATTGCGTACAAATAGCTAAAAGGTTATAGGATAATAAACAATTTGTTTTCGTTTGTAATGTGCATAGTGGAGACGGGTATTGGGAGGGAGGAACATGGATTATTTATTTACTAATACTTGGTCTTGCCACTAGTCATATATTTTCATCACATAAATGATAATTGTATATTGATAATTAAGAAGTATATGGCAGCATGGACTAGCAAGTAATGGATTAACAAAAGCATAGAAATTAGAAACAAAACCAATATAGAACTGAAATTATATACATAACAGGAGCGGATCGGAGACAATTAAATTTTTCTCTCGCTTCGTTTGCTGTGCACGATGTTGGTTTTCTATTGTTTTTTGTGCACAACCTTTTTCTACAACTTGTGCACAAAAAATTAATAAAACGGTGCATCCTTTTAAAAACGTTTTATCGCACGCATACAACTGTACTGTAAGAGAAGAGCACTCAGGTACATTAATGCCTGGGTCTCAGTTTGTGTATTTAGCGAAAATAAACAAAAAATCATAAAAAAATAAGTGTGGCCTTGATTATTACCATTCAAATTTTATATGATTTATCAAAGGAGATTCTAAAAGTTGACCTACTTTTTGTTGTCATGGCAACGATCACGTGATGTATATTTCGAAAAACAACACAAAAAATGATACTTTTTATTCAGAGGCTCTGCAGCAGTATATTTCATGACTGAGAGGACGCATAATTGCGATAATCTTTCACACATAATATCACTGTTTATTGAATAAATTCAGAAAGTTTACATTTAGGCTTCGTTTCATTATTTTATGCGGCTATATTAAGATGATCGGCATCAAACAAATGTTAATCGCGTCATTAAATGTTATCTACAAATAAATGTACGGTTTCCAAATTAACGCAGGAAACTTTATTCCCTTTCGTCAAATTACCCTGCTGCAAGTCGAACACGTTTTTCACGTGATGAATTTCACGCGCCATAATGAAACAGTCTGCCGCTTATTGTAAGGGATATTATATTTCCAATAACAACATTCATTGCGTATTCAAGCCAATATCTTGAAGCATAGTTAATGCTTGAAGGGAAGTATGCCATGGTGGAAAAGACCGAGTGAACTATATGTGCCATTAATTTGTAATTCACAAATTGAAAATAAGAAACAGTCAACAATTAATACTGAATAATCGCAAGATAGCGCACTATAAGAAGCTTTTATTTATCAGCAGTTCAAAGGTTAGCTGTCGCAATATTACTGACAGATCGCGCGTGCAACACGCGCACAAGATATCATCCAAGTGTGGGCAGACCCAGGCATTAACATGCCTGAGCAGAGCAACATAGTTTGTGCAGCTACAATATTTATTCCTTCCGTTATCAGGCAAGTCAAGAAACTTAAAGAAATTGCTACCTTGACTTGGCCCTATGGATGAATATTAACTTTAATTTTCATTTTCATACGACATCCCCTTTACCAACTGTAGGAGCTATTGGGTCAGTAAACATTTAAATATTTTGTACAAGATACTTATGCGATCCAAGTGGAACAATTACTCCATACAACAAAAAATTTCTTTTGAACGATCGAGGTTTATTACATCCCGTCCTGTACATGTCTTTTTCACATATGCATCATGCTTATGAAGCGGATGTTGACAAGGTGTCGCCGAGCGCCAGAACTTTCCCAAACTATGTCGATGTCTGGGGCATATCCACATACACTGTTTTTGGGTATCAATAATGTCAAAATACCCGGAATGTGCTAAGGTTAACTCACATTCTGTAATTTTAGATTTTAGGCGGAGAGCGATCAAATAGTTTTTCGTTAATTTTTCTCTAAGTTTGCCAATCATTTCCGGTTCCGACATTACGATAAGTAAAGGTTTAAAAATCTCCAGGACAACAGAGTGACAGAAAATTTTGAAACTGTATTTGATGTAAGCTATCAAAAAGCAAACAATAATTCTGATTTGAACCATTCTGATTTTTTACTTCCCAGTCATCGGTCGGTTATTACAGAGACTGCCTCTTAAGTGTCGCAGCGCAAGGTGTCATGGGATAGCGTCGTTTCGAATTTTTGTGCTAAAAATTTGAAAGCAATTTTACATGTCTTACATGGTGAATAAATTTATCGAAATTTCAAACCCTAACGATGGAAAAGGCACGGCAAAGTTCGTAAAATGTTATTCAGATCTCACAGGTAAGAATAGTTTTATTTTGACTTGTAATTTAAGCACTTTAATTGTGAAAGAATGTAGTGAAAATATGATTGTTACTTGAGCCATGTGTCTGAAATTCTGTTGAATATAATTTTGAATTTGCTGCGTTCAAGTTGCATAAAAACATACTAAATGTTGGTTTCTGGCAAGGAAAGAAACAATAAAATATCAATCCGAATCTATTATAGTAAATTCTGTAGTAAATTGTGCACTAATGCACTATTAATATCAACAATGTAGCAATAATTGTCCTTGGCATATAATAATTTGTCAAGGGTGTATGACTTAATAATCAAACAATATGAAATAATATATTAAACATATTTGTGCTTTTAACAATATCAAATAATATATTAAACATGTGAATGCTGTTAAAGATATGTTAGCATTTTAATACATGAATAAAGATTGTATAAATTACAGAAAAATTACAGCATATTGAATGTGTTATGTGATATATTAGTGTATTGATCCTTTTAACCCGGTTAGATGGAAAACACAGAGTCGGAGTTCCGGAGTCGGAGCCCCAGAGTTGGAGTCCCGGAGTCGGCGTCCCGGAGTCTGACGTCATAAAAATATGGAAAACACGGAGTCATATAGAAAACACAGAGTCTGACATCAGAGAAAAATATGGAAAACACGGAGTCATATGGAAAACACAGAGTCTGACGTCATAAAAATATGGAAAACACGGAGTCATATGGAAAACACAGAGTCTGACGTCAGAGAAAAATATGGAAAACATGGAGTCATATGGAAAACACGGAGTCTGACATCAGAGAAAAATATGGAAAACACGGAGTCATATGGAAAACACGGAGTCTGACGTATTGTCAGCGTAAAATATGGAAAATAGTAATTAAATAATATATCATTTATGCGAATATGAACAAACAGACAAATTTATAATATAACGAATTGGAAATTTTCTGCACTAATTCTGGTATTTCTCTAAAATGTCGTGAAAATATGGATTATTTATTTTTAAATACAATCAAGCAAATAATATTGTTTCTCTTGTCGTGTGACTTGTTCAGTTGTACAATATTTGAAGTGATTTTAATGCGGATTTTGTTCACCTCGCATGGTATGTTGATAAAAATATAGTTTATATACTTAATACTGCTAGAATATTTCATAGTCGATTTACATGTAATATTTATAACACACAAAATCTTGACACAAAAGAGATATGCTGCTTGGAAACAGCGTGCAATATTGTTATTTACTAATAAATAGATGCAGCCAGCCAACACACAAATCCGTGCAGTATATTAATGGCATTAAAAAAGTTTTCAGGTGTCCAAAAAAAATACCTGCACTATAGTGGTAAGTCCATACCAAGTTAATATCTCTAACATATAAGTTTTAGGTTTTTATATATCAAGCCATTGATATTTGAGTGATCAAGATAGGTATTTATAACTGACCATTTGTTCCAGGCTTAATTGCATGATACCATTGTAAAATGGTCTGGCGTTAGGCAGAGTAAAATATAAAGTAGGGTACATCTGGGCACATATATTGCCTAGTGATGGGCGATTACCGATTACTTGGTATCGATACCACCCGATACCAGGCCCAAACAGGAAGTAGTCGATACTGCACGGTATCGAAAAAGTGTTTCGATTACTTTTATAATTAGACATTCATTATAATCCTGTAGTTGTGTCATCGTTTTCATGGTTATTTCTAATAAAATTTATGTACTTTTTTTGTATTTTGCTGCATTTATCAATTTAATCAAACTTCCTTTATACTTTATTTGACATTCTATCCTCGCCGATAGAATAAATTATGAAAAAGGCGGGAAATAAAGTAATTTTTGTTTTTTATGGATTAAAATGGCGGATCAAATCGTTACTGTTAAAAATATGTAACTTTCTGAAAATATATCGTTACTGTTACAGTAGAAGGCTATTTCTTTAACAGTCGGCTCTTTATTAAGTGACTTACATTTATTATTATGAAAATTGGAGGAAGTAATCGTTTGGGTAATCGATACCTCGATACTTTAACCAAAAAGTAATCGGTATCGTATCGAAACCGATACTGGTGGTATCGCCCATCACTAAGAGATTCATAAATCTACTATTTTGTACTGCATTAACTGAGTATCAGGCTTCCACTCTTATCCCTTCTTATCCCTTTCCCCCCCCCAAAGAGGCCTGGTGGTCAGGTTAGTACTGCGGTAATCGTTCCATGTTTCGCGCACCAATACAGTAAACGTTATGTAATGGATATTATAGTGTACTGAAAAGTTAACTGGATACCTCCATACATGTATATACATACCCTAACCCTAACCTTAAACCTAACCCTAACCCTAACTTATATTGGTGCGCGAAACATGGAACGATAACCAGTACTGCCATTGCTGTATAAATGGTCTGAAAGATGGATGCAAATTCTGATTTGTGTAGGAATTTAAAAAGGCACAAATAAGTGATACTAAAGTTAAAACAAAAGGTAATTATTCAGTTTTGAATGCACAACATTCAATGTTTAATAGTAAATTATTGAATTAGTTGGAAATTGTTTCTCACAGCTGAAGCTCCATAATTTTTGCTCCAAAAAAAAGGGGGAAACACAAAACACTTTTTTTAAATCTTCAGATAATCAAACTGCTGGTTGCAAGATTGAGACTTCAAAATTCACATCGACTGAAGAATTTCTAACTTCTGTTGGAGAGATGTATCATATATTGACTAACGAAGAGGTAATTGCACGATCAAGATTACTATCGCTAGCATTTATAGACACATCTTATTGAGTAAACGCTTCTCTAAATTACTTCGTAACTAAAACGAGGAAGCCAACACCAAGAAAAGAAAAGAAATGAAGAATGGCTACAGGCTATCCGCATTCCGACCAAGCTTCGTCGCGTCTATGTACTGTATAGGTATCGCATATTGTGTGAACGAATGGCGGCGATATACGATTCTTCGGTCCCAATATAGAAAATTTGAAATTCGGTTTGCCGATAAATCGTCCCCAGCCTAAAGCCAGACAGTTCACTGAAAATTTGTCATCTTCTTGAATTCCAGAGAATAAAGGCATTTGCTAGGTCTGATGTTAAAGTTGATGCTTTTAAAGGCGGGAGTTTTGTCCTGTTTGGCGGGACTGTCAATGGGAAGTTTCTTGAACTGGTAGGTATAGACTTAGTGAAGATGGTAATGAGGAATGACGTCGTTGTAATACATCCTTCCGGAACTGAAGTACACTTTGGCTAAAGCCTGGTTCACACTAGCAATTCAGTCGGCGACTTTTCTCCTCCTGGCAGATGTGATCGAATGAATGACTTGCAAAAGACTTAGAATTATTTACTTCTGAAAAGCGACTCTATATTTTTATGTGTGAGTTCACTTACTTGCATCCGTTAGACACACAAAATTGCTAGTGTGAACCAGGCTTAAAGAGCCTCGTTTTTGTCATTGATACGTTCGGCCTTAAGTCCCTTAACTAATTTTCTATAACCAAAATGACATACTTTCCGAAAAGGTATTTTGGGTACGATATTGGGTGTTTTATTAGATTTATACGTCGGATGTTCGACTTCGTCCCAGTCTAAGGTGAACAGGAGTCGCATGAGAGTTGATGAGAGTTGCGTGTGGCAAAAACTCTCATCAAAATTTAAATCAAAGTTGATAACAGTGCACGAGAGTTGATGAGAGTTGGCGCTCAAACGCGAGCAAGGGTTGCAACTCTCGTCAACTCTCATCCTTGTTTGACTGGCGCTTCACCTTTCTTTTTCAGCTGCCTGATAAAAAGATAACAATGCTATGGCGGTTTAATAGTTGGCCAGCAGGTAAGAGCAGATTCTTCATCTTTAAGGACTAGAGACACCAAACGTGATACGAGAGCCCGGCACATTTTCCCTATTTTCACTCATAGATAACTTTGATTCATGCTTAAGCATTCAAGCGGTAATGTGCCGCACTTTGTTATTTTGCTTTCTGAGTTGGCTAATCCCAACCTATCAGTATTCCCTGTGGGAGAGAATCAGAGTATCTGGAGAATACCCACGACTTTCAGTAGAGCGCGGAATGACTCTTTATATATAAGTACAGAGTACTAACCATACAGAGGTCTCACTTCGCGAGAAAAACATAAGGTACGTTTTACTGCGCATATCATTCACATCCCCCCCCCCCCTGGAACATTAATTACATTTCAATATGTTCTCAGGGGGTGACAGCCTCTCTTTAGGGCACTTGCTAAGAACATGGCAGCCTGGAAAAATCCCTTACGCTGAAATTAATAAGTGAGACATCTGTATGATATTTACAGCGCCCTGGTATATTTACTCTGTGCCGCCATCTCAGAGCTCTGATGGTTGCGTCACCAATGCACTGACCGCTCTGATATAACTGTATGCACATTACTCGCTTCGCGTGTTCCTACACTGACTGCTTTGATATAACTGCATAGAGGCTATGTTTGTATTGATATATCACATAGGACATAGTCTATGGATTGTAGTATAATATAATTTATATAGTTTTTTATGTGTTTTCACTCTTCACACTACCCCCTCGAAATCAGCCTATCCTGAAGGATCAGCCTGGGTAAATATATTTTCAATAAATACAGTATTATCTATTATTTTATAGCACACAATTCAACAGTAACGATAGAGTTGAACCAGAAGGATGACAGAACGGAGTTGAAATTTTCACAAACAGGAATCCCTACTTCAGACTTCGAGAGAACGAAGCAAGGATGGAAGCAGTACTATTGGTCGAGTATAAAACAGACGTTTGGAATTGGAATGAAGTACTTTTGAACGAGAAGATTAAAAAATGCTTTTTGCTTTTTTGCTTTGCGCATTATAAAGCGCAGATCAAACGAGAATGAGAGTTGGCGGTCACGAATTGTTACGGAGACATTTCAAGGTGTAGATTAATAAAATAAGGTTTGAGGAGTGTTCCAACTATGTTTTGACTTAATTCAATAGAATACATGATAGTGTTGAGAGAGACTGGCAGTCCAAAGATCTGCAGACTGGCAGTCCAAAAATCGTGTTTAAATAAATTTTGCGATCAGAGAACGTTTAAAAACTGGCGGCCATTTTGAAAACCTGTCTTCAGTCCATCCCCTTTAGCCACGACCGTTATCTCGTAGTTACTGTAATATAAATATAATATTCTATTAACTATGGTCCCCAGTCGTCTCTGTCTGCAGTCTTCGACAGGTAAAGTGATATTAAATATAAAACTATTCTACGGATATAGCTACTAGGTCTAGGACAGTGGTTTACAGTCACAATTACAATGACATGCTATCATAGCTATATCCGTAGAATAGTTTTATATTTAGCATCACTTTACCTGTCGAAGACTGCAGACTGGCAGTCGAAAGCTTTTGTTTAAATACAGTAAATTTTACGATCAGAGAACGTTTCAGAAACCTCTCGTCCGTCCCTTTTAGACACTAGACAGATTTAGATCGAGGACGCGGACGTCAAAGACGACGTGAAAATGGCGTCAAAATGGCGTGGCATGTCCATACATGGGCACGACACGCCATTTTCACGTCGTCTTTGACGTCCGCGTCCTCGATCTAAATCTATCTACTACCACGAGCTAAGCAAAGGTCGCGTGCGCCATCTCTCGTTTGATGCGGGCTTCAGGTCCAATGGGCCTGAGCAACTTTCAAGAACAGGCATCGGAAAACGTTCATGTCCAATTGCTTTGTGCTTTAGAATCAATCTCGATAATATGAAGTAACATATATCTCAACATGTGAACTGGGTGTAGCCAAATATAGTCTGCGAACCCCAGATATCATTATTTACTTTCCAAGCGAAGAATGAGCGTCTGGAATGACGTCTGGGGTTGCAGACTAAAGGCTAATTTCCACTCATGCAGGAAAATTATCCGTGGATTGGAACGGACAAGAAAAATTTTCTTTGTGTTAAAGTCATTGGTTCCAACCCAGAGCTCACAAGACAAAGAAAATTTTTCTTGTCTGTTCCAATCCACGGATAATTTTCCTGAGTGGAAATTAGCCTTCAGCCAAATATAGTCAAACGCTTGTTAGGCCAACACCTTTGGCAACTTGGAAATGTGTCCTATGTGAAAGAGGTATTGGAATAATAGTAAGAGATATTTGTCCGCTAATAGAAGTTAAAATTGTTTACTTGAGTGTCAGGACATATTTTGCCTTAAATGCGGGTGGATGGAAGAGAAAACAGAAAGACATTCTGAAGTGAAAGTTAGACGGAAAAGTTGAGACGGAAAACCCGTCATCAACCGACCTTATATCTGGACGAGTTTCCCGTGTCAGACAATGTGTCAGACGGAAATCCGTCTTCTAATATGAATTCAGACTTTCAGCTAATTAGTTCAATCGACTGCGGTACCATAGCCAAAATGGGAACGAACCAAAGCAAGATATATTGTTTGGTGGTACTATACTTGTTACGAATAGGGTGTTTCTTGACTTTCTTCTGATGTAGCCAAGAAGTTTATTAGCTTTCGAAGCTTGACGATGTACGTGTGTTCCCCATGTCATGTTCGTTGAATTTTGATACGCATATCTCGAGATCTCTTTCAATGCCCGTTGTTTGTAATTGTTGATCATTTAGCTTATACGTTGTCGTTATTGGTTTAAACTTTCTTGTTATCTGTTGCTGCTTGCATTTCGTTTCGTTACAGTAAATGCCAGACCGAATCTGGACGACCAGTGTTCTAAGTGTTGAAGCCGTCAGTTTGAAGAACATAGCCCCGACACAGAGGCCCCGACATTTGATGTTGGAAAATAATTTCGTATCGTCAGCGTTAACATTGCTCGTTGACATATGGTAAAAACAAAGCAGGACCAAGGGTAAAACCTTGCGGAACACCTGATGACAGGGACGCCAGAACTGGGGGGCACGAGGGGCAGCCGCCCCCGTTGCCCTTTACCAAGGGGGGCAAAGGTGCCCTTTCAATTTAAAGGATTGCCTTGGCGAAATAGCGAATTGTCAGAAATGTTAGTGCAATTCTTTTACGAATTTGCTTCAGAAAACGCAAGAAATGCAGTCATCGAGCTTCAAGAATAGCACAATCGCCTGGCGGAGAACACCCTCACACCCCTATCATCCAATAAATAGAAAACATGATTAGGCGAAGTTCAACACCCGACTGCAAACATCTCTTAGTATATATCAATTTAAAAGTGCCCTTTCACGAAAATCTGCCCCCCTTGCCTTCACATGGTTCCGGCGTCCCTGCCTGATGATATAGGAAGTGTGTTTGATGTGACACCAAGAACTGCAACGCCCTGGCGACGGCCTGTCAAATATGACTGGATCCACTTTAGTAAACAACCACTAAATCCGTAAATCGTAATACTCCAATTTGGTAAATAACTTTACATGATTCATCCAATCAAATGCTTTGGACATATCAAGATAGATCGTATCCACTTGTTCTCCATTGTCTAGGGACCTGCCAATGTAATCAAATACTTCTAAAAGATTCGTTACACATAATTTTCAGTTGGAAAAGGTGATGCTTTTTATATGCATGAGTATACAACGTTCCAAGACTTTAGATACAATTAGCAACAAAAGTTTCCTGGACGCAAGGATTTATTGAACAGCTTACAGAGAAAGGGAGGCAGTTTCTCTGAGTAGCTTGGCTGGGATTTCATCAGGTCCGCTCTCTTTAATGATGTACATGTTGAGGATTTTAAGTGTAGATTTAACTCCAAGTTCACAAAGAGTTAGTTCTTATTTCTTCAGATTGATTAGAAGACTTAGAAAGGTTGTCGGATGTAAATAATCTGATGCAAAGTAAGCATTGAACATATTGGCTATTTCAGCAGTGCCGTAGCTAGCATGTATAGTTGGGGGGGTGTAGGCCAAAAATTTCCGAATGACGAAGAAAATTTCCGAATATTAGCGAAAAATTTTTTTCATTCGAAAATTCTGGGCGACCTCCCCCCCCAATTTTTACCCCTAAAATGGTACACTGACCGAAAATTTTTTGGCGACAGGGGGGAGGTTGTTGTCCGGAAAAAAATTTTTCCGGGAAAAATTTTTTAGATAGGGGCCCCTAAAAAAAATTTGCCCCGGGCCCCCGCCAACCTCTCGGCGGCCTGGAGCTGGATGCAACATGCAGGGAGATGCAATCTGGAATGCTGCAGGTTTTTTATTTCTGTTTCATCACGGACCAAAAACGTTTAGGGTTGCTTCCAAGCTGTCATTAATCGAGGAGAAAATAATTTCACAGCTTTTGCGCAGTATTAAATTGTTTTACTTCAGAATGCATTTTCCTGTACTTTTCCTGCAGATGTATGATAATATTTAATATGAAGTTGAGACAAAAGATTTGTGCACAATAACCACAATGAGGTATAGTTCAACATGAAAGGTGTCCTATTTTTATATTTGAAGTTTGCCGGACTTCCACACAATCATATCTTTCCTATTAAGGTTACAGAACACCTTTGAGTGTTAATTTTGCCTAAAATTTTTTTATTGGTTTCCATGAAAGCATTAGACTAGTTCTAATATCTGACCAAGTTTGAACGAAAAATGTTGAAAACTCGCAAAGTTATTTAATAAAATACATTTCGCTGCAATAAGAAAAACATTGAAAAGATAATATTCAAATTCAATTTTCTCCCGAAAAAGTTTACGGTAATTACTGATTTTCAAACGAGTTGTGCTCCTGCGGGCTTTAACCAATTGTTCTCAAATTTTCACAGGACATAGCTAAAGACGTCAGTTTCAAAATTGTGTTCGGCTTTTTTTAAATTTTGGATATTTTAAAAATAAAGAGCAATTCACTCAAACAATTCAGAAATATATTGCAGTCGTCAAAGAAATCGCCATATCAGCGGAATGACAAAATAAACAAAAAATTTCCGAACACAGTTTTTTAGAACAACTATTTTACTGTATAAAAATGATATTTTCATAAATATAACTTAAAACCAGCAGGAGCATAACTCAAAAGCGTAACGGTACCGCGATTTAAGATTTTCCTGAATAATTCTTACATTATTTTATTGTTTGTTAATTTTACAACATTTAACATATTTTGCATGTACTGGAGAACATTTGGTGAAAATTTGATGAAAATCGGACTGATATTCAGCGCGCAGTAGCGATTTTCCGCAAAACGCCAAAAAGGGTGTCCTGTAACCTAACTCTTGTCCTGTAATCCTAACTCGTGTCTAATACAGTAACTACTATCCTGACACAAATCCTAATCATTGTGACGTCATTTGAAGATAGTATGGAAAATATGTCTTTCTGCAAGTGTTGATCGTTAGGTGCAAACATAGCAAACAACTGGAACCAAGCCACAGTCACCTGTGCCACAATCTTGTGACGTAAATCCGGGCATGTAGTAAAACACTGACTACCGGAACACCGGAATACCACCGGAACACCGGAACACCACCATTTTGTTTGGGTTAGGATTAGGGTTTGGGGTTAGGATTAGGGTTTGGGGTTAGGGTTAGGGTTGGGTGTTAGGGTTGGGTGTTAGGGTTGGGGTTAGGGTTAGGTGGTGTTCCGGTGGTGTTCCGGTGTTCCGGTAGTCAGTGTTTTACTACATGCCGTAAATCCGCCATGTTTTTGGTCACACACATTTTCGTCGAGAGCACGATCTCCAGTAGATATATAGTATATGTCAGTATAGCTCAGTGGTATAGCTCTTTATATGCAAATACTACATGAAGTATCGACCTACCAGATACCAATATGGCGACCAAAACGAAAGAAACTGATGAAGAACGGATCGAAACAGCAGAAATTTACAAAGCCGAAGGGAATGAATTTTTTAAAAAGGAAGAGTATAAATCGGCCATGAAGAGATACCATTTTGCATTGTTGTATTTAAAAGGAATTGGTGAAAAACACCCTATAACAGGGCAACAACATATTCTGACAGATGAGTGGAAGAAGCGATTTGACGAAATGAAATTTAGTTGCTATAATAATTTAGCAGGTTGCGTATTTCACATACTAAGACTGTATTTTGTATCTGACCTAAATATGCTATATATATATATATATACCGGGTGTCCCAAAAAAAAGTACTCCGGTTTGATTCGTAATAACTTCTAAACAGGTAAAGCTTTCAAAGAGAAATAACTTGCATCAAATAGGGGAAGGACTAACTTAGATTTTGATATATTACAGTTGTATTTCAC